CCACACTGTGGACACACACACACAGAACCACACTGTGGACACACACACACAGAACCACACTGTGGACACACACACACAGAACCACACTGTGGACACACACACACAGAACCACACTGTGGACACACACACACAGAACCACACGTGGACACACACACACCACACTGTGGACACACACACACAGAACCACACTGTGGACACACACACACAGAACCACACTGTGGACACACACACACAGAACCACACTGTGGACACACACACACAGAACCACACTGTGGACACACACACACAGAACCACACTGTGGAACACACACACAGAACCACACTGTGGACACACACACACAGAACCACACTGTGGACACACACACACAGAACCACACTGTGGACACACACACACAGAACCACACTGTGGACACACACACACAGAACCACACTGTGGACACACACACACAGAACCACACTGTGGACACACACACACAGAACCACACTGTGGACACACACACACAGAACCACACTGTGGACACACACACACAGAACCACACTGTGGACACACACACACAGAACCACACTGTGGACACACACACACAGGACCACACTGTGGACACACACACACAGGACCACACTGTGGACACACACACACAGGACCACACTGTGGACACACACACACAGAACCACACTGTGGACACACACACAGACAGAACCACACTGTGGACACACACAGACAGAACCACACTGTGGACACACACAGACAGAACCACACTGTGGACACACACACACAGAACCACACTGTGGACACACACACACAGAACCACACTGTGGACACACACACACACAGAACCACACTGTGGACACACACACACAGAACCACACTGTGGACACACACAGACAGAACCACACTGTGGACACACACACACAGAACCACACTGTGGACACACACACACAGAACCACACTGTGGACACACACACACAGAACCACACTGTGGACACACACACAGAACCACACTGTGGACACACACAGACAGAACCACACTGTGGACACACACACAGAACCACACTGTGGACACACACACACAGAACCACACTGTGGACACACACACACAGAACCACACTGTGGACACACACACACAGAACCACACTGTGGACACACACAGACAGAACCACACTGTGGACACACACAGACAGAACCACACTGTGGACACACACACACAGAACCACACTGTGGACACACACACACAGAACCACACTGTGGACACACACACACAGAACCACACTGTGGACACACACACAGAACCACACTGTGGACACACACACAGAACCACACTGTGGACACACACACACAGAACCACACTGTGGACACACACACACAGAACCACACTGTGGACACACACACACAGAACCACACTGTGGACACACACACACAGAACCACACTGTGGACACACACACACAGAACCACACTGTGGACACACACACACAGAACCACACTGTGGACACACACACACAGAACCACACTGTGGACACACACACACAGAACCACACTGTGGACACACACACACAGAACCACACTGTGGACACACACACACAGAACCACACTGTGGACACACACAGAGATGTTTTCAGTGGGAGGGAAATCGGAGCAGAGCGGCTAAAGCTAACTGAGAGCAGCTAAAGCTAACTGAGAGCAGCTAAAGCTAACTGAGAGCAGCTAAAGCTAACTGAGAGCGGCTAAAGCTAACTGAGAGCAGCTAAAGCTAACTGAGAGCGGCTAAAGCTAACTGAGAGCGGCTAAAGCTAACTGAGAGCGGCTAAAGCTAACTGAGAGCGGCTAAAGCTAACTGAGAGCGGCTAAAGCTAACTGAGAGCGGCTAAAGCTAACTGAGAGCGGCTAAAGCTAACTGAGAGCAGCTAAAGCTAACTGAGAGCGGCTAAAGCTAACTGAGAGCGGCTAAAGCTAACTGAGAGCAGCTAAAGCTAACTGAGAGCGGCTAAAGCTAACTGAGAGCGGCTAAAGCTAACTGAGAGCGGCTAAAGCTAACTGAGAGCGCTAAAGCTAAAGCTAACTGAGAGCAGCTAAAGCTAACTGAGAGCAGCTAAAGCTAACTGAGAGCAGCTAAAGCTAACTGAGAGCAGCTAAAGCTAACTGAGAGCAGCTAAAGCTAACTGAGAGCAGCTAAAGCTAACTGAGAGCAGCTAAAGCTAACTGAGAGCGGCTAAAGCTAACTGAGAGCGGCTAAAGCTAACTGAGAGCGGCTAAAGCTAACTGAGAGCGGCTAAAGCTAACTGAGAGCGGCTAAAGCTAACTGAGAGCGGCTAAAGCTAACTGAGAGCAGCTAAAGCTAACTGAGAGCGGCTAAAGCTAACTGAGAGCGGCTAAAGCTAACTGAGAGCAGCTAAAGCTAACTGAGAGCGGCTAAAGCTAACTGAGAGCGGCTAAAGCTAACTGAGAGCGGCTAAAGCTAACTGAGAGCGGCTAAAGCTAACTGAGAGCGGCTAAAGCTAACTGAGAGCGGCTAAAGCTAACTGAGAGCGGCTAAAGCTAACTGAGAGCGGCTAAAGCTAACTGAGAGCGGCTAAAGCTAACTGAGAGCAGCTAAAGCTAACTGAGAGCAGCTAAAGCTAACTGAGAGCAGCTAAAGCTAACTGAGAGCAGCTAAAGCTAACTGAGAGCAGCTAAAGCTAACTGAGAGCGGCTAAAGCTAACTGAGAGCGGCTAAAGCTAACTGAGAGCAGCTAAAGCTAACTGAGAGCAGCTAAAGCTAACTGAGAGCAGCTAAAGCTAACTGAGAGCGGCTAAAGCTAACTGAGAGCGGCTAAAGCTAACTGAGAGCAGCTAAAGCTAACTGAGAGCGGCTAAAGCTAACTGAGAGCAGCTAAAGCTAACTGAGAGCAGCTAAAGCTAACTGAGAGCAGCTAAAGCTAACTGAGAGCAGCTAAAGCTAACTGAGAGCGGCTAAAGCTAACTGAGAGCAGCTAAAGCTAACTGAGAGCGGCTAAAGCTAACTGAGAGCGGCTAAAGCTAACTGAGAGCGGCTAAAGCTAACTGAGAGCAGCTAAAGCTAACTGAGAGCGGCTAAAGCTAACTGAGAGCGGCTAAAGCTAACTGAGAGCAGCTAAAGCTAACTGAGAGCAGCTAAAGCTAACTGAGAGCGCTAAAGCTAACTGAGAGCAGCTAAAGCTAACTGAGAGCAGCTAAAGCTAACTGAGAGCGGCTAAAGCTAACTGAGAGCAGCTAAAGCTAACTGAGAGCAGCTAAAGCTAACTGAGAGCAGCTAAAGCTAACTGAGAGCGGCTAAAGCTAACTGAGAGCGGCTAAAGCTAACTGAGAGCGGCTAAAGCTAACTGAGAGCGGCTAAAGCTAACTGAGAGCGGCTAAAGCTAACTGAGAGCGGCTAAAGCTAACTGAGAGCGGCTAAAGCTAACTGAGAGCAGCTAAAGCTAACTGAGAGCGGCTAAAGCTAACTGAGAGCAGCTAAAGCTAACTGAGAGCAGCTAAAGCTAACTGAGAGCGGCTAAAGCTAACTGAGAGCAGCTAAAGCTAACTGAGAGCGGCTAAAGCTAACTGAGAGCAGCTAAAGCTAACTGAGAGCGGCTAAAGCTAACTGAGAGCAGCTAAAGCTAACTGAGAGCAGCTAAAGCTAACTGAGAGCAGCTAAAGCTAACTGAGAGCAGCTAAAGCTAACTGAGAGCGGCTAAAGCTAACTGAGAGCAGCTAAAGCTAACTGAGAGCAGCTAAAGCTAACTGAGAGCAGCTAAAGCTAACTGAGAGCAGCTAAAGCTAACTGAGAGCGGCTAAAGCTAACTGAGAGCAGCTAAAGCTAACTGAGAGCAGCTAAAGCTAACTGAGAGCAGCTAAAGCTAACTGAGAGCAGCTAAAGCTAACTGAGAGCGGCTAAAGCTAACTGAGAGCGGCTAAAGCTAACTGAGAGCAGCTAAAGCTAACTGAGAGCAGCTAAAGCTAACTGAGAGCAGCTAAAGCTAACTGAGAGCAGCTAAAGCTAACTGAGAGCAGCTAAAGCTAACTGAGAGCAGCTAAAGCTAACTGAGAGCAGCTAAAGCTAACTGAGAGCAGCTAAAGCTAACTGAGAGCAGCTAAAGCTAACTGAGAGCAGCTAAAGCTAACTGAGAGCAGCTAAAGCTAACTGAGAGCAGCTAAAGCTAACTGAGAGCAGCTAAAGCTAACTGAGAGCGGCTAAAGCTAACTGAGAGCAGCTAAAGCTAACTGAGAGCAGCTAAAGCTAACTGAGAGCAGCTAAAGCTAACTGAGAGCGGCTAAAAGCTAACTGAGAGCAGCTAAAGCTAACTGAGAGCAGCTAAAGCTAACTGAGAGCAGCTAAAGCTAACTGAGAGCGGCTAAAGCTAACTGAGAGCAGCTAAAGCTAACTGAGAGCAGCTAAAGCTAACTGAGAGCGGCTAAAGCTAACTGAGAGCAGCTAAAGCTAACTGAGAGCAGCTAAAGCTAACTGAGAGCGGCTAAAGCTAACTGAGAGCAGCTAAAGCTAACTGAGAGCAGCTAAAGCTAACTGAGAGCGGCTAAAGCTAACTGAGAGCAGCTAAAGCTAACTGAGAGCGGCTAAAGCTAACTGAGAGCACAGGGAGAACATGCAAACTCCACTCACAAATACCCTGTTTCTCTCAGGTCCCTTGACCCTCACAGGGGCCCCTGTGTGTGGCCCCTGTGTGGCCCCTGTGTGTGGCCCCTGTGTGGCCCCTGTGTAGCCCCTGTGTGGCCCCTGTGTGGCCCCTGTGTGTGGCCCCTGTGTGGCCCCTGTGTGTAGCCCCTGTGTGGCCCCTGTGTGGCCCCTGTGTGGCCCCTGTGTGGCCCCTGTGTGTGGCCCCGGTGTGTGGCCCCTGTGTGGCCCCTGTGTGGCCCCTGTGTGGCCCCTGTGTGGCCCCTGTGTGGCCCCTGTGTGGCCCCTGTGTGTGGCCCCTGTGTGTGGCCCCTGTGTAGCCCCTGTGTAGCCCCTGGGTGGCCCCTGTGTGTGGCCCCTGGGGGCCCCTGTCGTACCTGACGTTCTCGTAGCGGTGGATGTAGATGCGGTGAAACTGATGCTGCAGATTCTCGTCCTCGACGTTGTTCATGTCGTTGATCATCTCCAGGACAACGAACCGCGGCAGCACCGAGAGAACCAGGCGCTCCTGCAGAACAGGGAGCACAGGGACTGTAGGGAGCACAGGGACTGTAGGGAGCACAGGGACTGTAGGCAGCACAGGGACTGTAGGGAGCACAGGGACTGTAGGCAGCACAGGGACTGTAGGCAGCACAGGGACTGTAGGGAGCACAGGGACTGTAGGCAGCACAGGGACTGTAGGCAGCACAGGGACTGTAGGGAGCACAGGGACTGTAGGCAGCACAGGGACTGTAGGGAGCACAGGGACTGTAGGCAGCACAGGGACTGTAGGGAGCACAGGGACTGTAGGGAGCACAGGGACTGTAGGGAGCACAGGGACTGTAGGGAGCACAGGGACTGTAGGCAGCACAGGGACTGTAGGCAGCACAGGGACTGTAGGGAGCACAGGGACTGTAGGCAGCACAGGGACTGTAGGCAGCACAGGGACTGTAGGCAGCACAGGGACTGTAGGGAGCACAGGGACTGTAGGCAGCACAGGGACTGTAGGGAGCACAGGGACTGTAGGGAGCACAGGGACTGTAGGGAGCACAGGGACTGTAGGGAGCACAGGGACTGTAGGCAGCACAGGGACTGTAGGCAGCACAGGGACTGTAGGGAGCACAGGGACTGTAGGCAGCACAGGGACTGTAGGGAGCACAGGGACTGTAGGGAGCACAGGGACTGTAGGGAGCACAGGGACTGTAGGGAGCACAGGGACTGTAGGGAGCACAGGGACTGTAGGCAGCACAGGGACTGTAGGCAGCACAGGGACTGTAGGGAGCACAGGGACTGTAGGCAGCACAGGGACTGTAGGGAGCACAGGGACTGTAGGCAGCACAGGGACTGTAGGCAGCACAGGGACTGTAGGGAGCACAGGGACTGTAGGGAGCACAGGGACTGTAGGCAGCACAGGGACTGTAGGGAGCACAGGGACTGTAGGGAGCACAGGGACTGTAGGGAGCACAGGGACTGTAGGCAGCACAGGGACTGTAGGCAGCACAGGGACTGTAGGCAGCACAGGGACTGTAGGGAGCACAGGGACTGTAGGGAGCACAGGGACTGTAGGGAGCACAGGGACTGTAGGCAGCACAGGGACTGTAGGGAGCACAGGGACTGTAGGCAGCACAGGGACTGTAGGGAGCACAGGGACTGTAGGCAGCACAGGGACTGTAGGCAGCACAGGGACTGTAGGGAGCACAGGGACTGTAGGGAGCACAGGGACTGTAGGGAGCACAGGGACTGTAGGCAGCACAGGGACTGTAGGGAGCACAGGGACTGTAGGCAGCACAGGGACTGTAGGCAGCACAGGGACTGTAGGGAGCACAGGGACTGTAGGCAGCACAGGGACTGTAGGCAGCACAGGGACTGTAGGCAGCACAGGGACTGTAGGGAGCACAGGGACTGTAGGCAGCACAGGGACTGTAGGCAGCACAGGGACTGTAGGGAGCACAGGGACTGTAGGGAGCACAGGGACTGTAGGGAGCACAGGGACTGTAGGCAGCACAGGGACTGTAGGGAGCACAGGGACTGTAGGGAGCACAGGGACTGTAGGGAGCACAGGGACTGTGTGTCTGTGTGTGTCTGTGTCTGTGTGTGTCTGTCTGTGTCTGTGTCTGTGTGTGTCTGTGTGTGTCTGTCTGTGTCTGTGTGTGTCTGTGTCTGTGTGTGTCTGTGTCTGTGTGTGTGTGTGTCTGTGTGTGTGTCTGTGTGTGTCTGTGTGTGTTGTGTACCTGTCTCTGGTTCTCTGTCTCCAGTCTGAGTCGAGCCTCGATGCAGCGGCGTGTTTCCAGAAAGGCCTGTCTCTGCGCTCGGTCTGACAGGTAACTGATGAAGACTCCTGCTGTGTTCACACAGAGGAAGAGCACCGCCTGGGCCACCACCTGCAGGGAAGAGAGGCAGCCAATCAGAGAAGAGCACCGCCTGGGCCACCACCTGCAGGGAAGAGAGGCAGCCAATCAGAGAAGAGCACCGCCTGGGCCACCACCTGCAGGGAAGAGAGGCAGCCAATCAGAGAAGAGCACCGCCTGGGCCACCACCTGCAGGGAAGAGAGGCAGCCAGAGGGAGGAGCTCAGAGGGAGGTGCTCAGAGGGAGGTGCTCAGAGGGAGGAGCTCAGAGGGACCTCTAACCCTATAGGGCAGACCTGGGCGAAATAAGGCCCGGGGGCCGGGTCCGGCCGCCAAGCTATTTAATCCGGCCCGCGACTCATTTTCAATATAAGTATGATTTTTTGGCATTTTCTGCGACGCTTTAATTACGCTTTCGCGACGCATCCGCACCTCAACGCATCCGCGACGCATCCGCGACGCATCCGCGACGCATCCGCGACGCATCCGCACCTCGACGCATCCGCGACGCATCCGCACCTCGACGCATCCGCACCTCGACGCATCCGCACCTCGACGCATCCACGACGCATCCGCACCTCGACGCATCCGCACCTCGACGCATCCACGACGCATCCGCACCTCGACGCATCCACAACGCATCCGCACCTCGACGCATCCGCACCTCGACGCATCCGCGACGCATCCGCACCTCGACGCATCCGCACCTCGACGCATCCGCGACGCATCCGCACCGCGAAAGCGACGCATCCGCACCGCGAAAGCGACGCATCCGCACCGCGAAAGCGACGCATCCGCACCGCGAAAGCGACGCATCCGCACCGCGAAAGCGACGCATCCGCGACGCATCCGCACCGCGAAAGCGACGCATCCGCACCGCGAAAGCGACGCATCCGCACCGCGAAAGCGACGCATCCGCACCGCGAAAGCGACGCATCCGCACCGCGAAAGCAACGCATCCGCACCGCGAAAGCGACGCGAAGGCTCCGCCGTGTCCAGCACCTCTTCCTGCGCGTGATATGAGTCTTCATTTGTCACGAGCAGCCCTCGACAATGTCCGCCCACGCTAAAATAGAAAGGTAGATACTGAATGCAGGATTTTCAGCAAACATTGGACTGCTCAGTATTTATTTGCTGAAGTTGGAGCTAACGCTGTTTGTTTAGTTTGCCGGGAGCAAGTTGCCGTGTTTAAGGAGTACAATGTGAGTCAGCATTACCAGACGAAGCACGCAGAGAAATACAAAAACTTAAATGATGCTGAAATGGCGCGGACATCGCAAACTTTGCTAGCTGCACTGCAAAAGCAACAAGAGGTTTTCACCAATCCCAGACTGGGATTGAAATGGGACAGACTGGGATTGAAATGGGACAGACTGGGATTGAAATGGGACAGACTGGTGAAAGCTTTCATGAGTAAGAAGACACTTCTCTCAAGTCAACAGGAGAACAACTCCCTCACTCATTTGCAGGTTCTCATCCATGTTAGCAGCATTCCATGATGAGTTTAAGACGTTTTGACGATCTCAGAACTATTGAGGATGAGATGAAGATGGGTCTGGGTCTCAGTGTCTGTGATGGTTCCAGGTTCATAATGAGTGTGTTTCTGCAGTACTACACTAGGGCACCAGGAGGCGTGGCCGAAGTCTACAGTCATGAGTCTGTGGCTGTGGCCCCGGCTGTGGCCCCGGCTGTGGCCCCGGCTGTGGCCCCGGCTGTGGCAGGTTATTGTAACGGAGGCTGATAAGATGGGTCTCTGGGGGGGGGGTGTTATTGGGAGGAGGCAGGTAGAGGCAGGCCCCCGTCGGCCCCTGGGACCTCTCCATAAATAACAGTCACTGCTGCTTCCATTACCACGTCCCCAGATACAGACTGAACAGACATGTGTGTGTGCTGCCTGCATGGGGGGGGACTCTGCGCTCAGCCGCTGCTCCTCCGCTCTGATGCTCAGACACACACAGGTCTGTTTATGTTTATATAGCACCTACACAGACACAGGGAGAACGTGCAAACTCCACACAGAAAGGACTGGAGGTGGAACCGAACCCAAGACCTTTTTGCTGTGAGGCACAAGTACTAACCATGCACCACTGTCAGTGTCTCCATCTGTGCTAACCCCGCCCCTTCTGTCCCTGTGAGCTGTCCCTGTGAGCTGTCCCTGTGAGCTGTCCCTGTGAGCTGTCCCTGTGAGCTGTCCCTGTGAGCTGTCCCTGTGAGCTGTCCCTGTGAGCTGTCCCTGTGAGCTGTCCCTGTGAGCTGTCCCTGTGAGCTGTCCCTGTGAGCTGTCCCTTTGGGCTGTCCAGACACTCCGGTCTTTGTGAAGCCCACGTCTCATGACTCTCAGCTCTGAGGAAGCGTCACATTGATTTGGATCAGAGAGACCAGAGCGAGACCAGAGAGAGACCAGAGAGAGACCAGAGAGAGACCAGAGAGAGACCAGAGCGAGACCAGAGAGAGACCAGAGAGAGACCAGAGAGAGACCAGAGAGGGACCAGAGAGAGACCAGAGAGAGACCAGAGAGAGACCAGAGAGAGACCAGAGAGAGACCAGAGCGAGACCAGAGAGAGACCAGAGAGAGACCAGAGCGAGACCAGAGAGAGACCAGAGAGAGACCAGAGAGAGACCAGAGAGAGACCAGAGCGAGACCAGAGAGAGACCAGAGAGAGACCAGAGAGAGACCAGAGAGAGACCAGAGAGAGACCAGAGAGAGAGACCAGAGAGAGAGACCAGAGAGACCTCCTCCTCCTCCCTTCCTCCTCCCCCTCTCTTCCTCCTCCTCTCCTCCTCCTCCTCTCTTCCTCGTCCTCCTCCCCCTCTCTTCCGCCTCCTCCTCTTCCTCCCCCTCTTCCTCCCCCTCTCTTCCGCCTCCTCCTCTCCTCCTCCTCCTCCTCTCCTCCTCCTCTTCCTCCTCCTCTCCTCCTCTTCCGCCTCCTCCTCTCCTCCTCCTCTTCCTCCTCCTCCTCCCCCTCTCTTCCGCCTCCTCCTCTTCCTCCCCCTCTCGTCCTCCTCCTCCTCTCCTCCTCCTCTTCCCCCCCTCTCTTCCGCCTCCTCCTCTCTCCTCCTCCTCCTCCTCCTCCTCCTCTCCTCCTCCTCTTCCTCCCCCTCTCTTCCTCCTCCTCCTCTCCTCCTCCTCCTCCTCTCTCTCCTCCTCCTCTCTTCCTCCTCCTCCTCCCCCTCTCTTCCGCCTCCTCCTCTCCTCCTCCTCGTCCTCCTCCTCCTCTTCCGCCTCCTCCTCTCCTCCTCCTCTTCCTCCCCCTCTCGTCCTCCTCCTCTCTTCCTCCTCCTCTCCTCCTCCTCCCCCTCTCCTCCTCCTCCTCCTCCTCCCCCTCTCCTCCTCCTACTGTATACAGTTCTTTTCCAAAGTCTCAGCTGCCCTGGGGCAGACTGACAGAAGCCCCTCCCACCACCACCAACCATTCACACACACACCAGACTCATTCTAATGTGGAAGTGTCTTGCCTAAGGACACAACCACAGTTTGGCACTTTACAGCCGCAGCCGCCCCACTGTGGCACCTGCTTTTCAGAGATCTCCCATCACAGTACTAACCAGGCCCTGCCCTGCTTAGATTCAGATGTCTCCCATCATAGCACTAACCAGGCCCTGCCGGCACCACTGTGACTGTCAGACTGTAGACTGAGTCCCGTTGCCGTGGGGACCATCTGGACCGTGTCCAAGCTTCACATTTGTCCTTTACGTTTCCTAATTTCCTCGTGACATGTGACCTACATGGGCCTGTTTCCACGGCAACGGCTGAGGCTCAGAAAAGAGCACGGTCTCATAGGAAGGGTCTACAGCCTCAGTCCTGGGTCTACAGCCTCAGTCCTGGGTCTACAGCCTCAGTCCTGGGTCTACAGCCTCAGTCCTGGGTCTACAGCCTCAGTCCTGGGTCTACGGCCTCAGTCCTGGGTCTACAGCCTCAGTCCTGGGTCTACAGCCTCAGTCCTGGGTCTACAGCCTCAGTCCTGGGTCTACAGCCTCAGTCCTGGGTCTACAGCCTCAGTCCTGGGTCTGCAGCCTCAGTCCTGGGTCTACAGCCTCAGTCCTGGGTCTACGGCCTCAGTCCTGGGTCTACGGCCTCAGTCCTGGGTCTACGGCCTCAGTCCTGGGTCTACAGCCTCAGTCCTGGGTCTACGGCCTCAGTCCTGGGTCTACGGCCTCAGTCCTGGGTCTACGGCCTCAGTCCTGGGTCTACGGCCTCAGTCCTGGGTCTACGGCCTCATTCCTGGGTCTACAGCCTCAGTCCTGGATCTACAGCCTCAGTCCTGGGTCTACAGCCTCAGTCCTGGGTCTACAGCCTCAGTCCTGGGTCTACCCTTGGACCCTACTTTTCACATACTCATAAAGGATCTTCCACTGAATGCACTGAGGCAGAATCTTGTACGACAACAAAAAGAACAACAAAGGAAAAACTGACAAAAGAAACGCACAAACTGCAAAGATCCTGTCAAACACTATACAAGAAGTGTGTGTGTGTGTGTGTGTGTGTGTGTGTGTGTGTGTGTGTGTGTGTGTGTGTGTGTGTCTGGGTCCTGTGGGGTCTGGGCCCTGATCCCCTCCCTCTGCTCTGGTCTCGTCCTGATCCCCTCCCTCTCCTCTGGTCTCGTCCTGATCCCCTCCCTCTCCTCTGGTCTCGTCCTGATCCCCTCCCTCTGCTCTGGTCTCGTCCTGATCCCCTCCCTCTGCTCTGGTCTCGTCCTGATCCCCTCCCTCTGCTCTGGTCTCGTCCTGATCCCCTCCCTCTGCTCTGGTCTCGTCCTGATCCCCTCCCTCTCCTCTGGTCTCGTCCTGATCCCCTCCCTCTGCTCTGGTCTCGTCCTGATCCCCTCCCTCTCCTCTGGTCTCGTCCTGATCCCCTCCCTCTCCTCTGGTCTCGTCCTGATCCCCTCCCTCTCCTCTGGTCTCGTCCTGATCCTCACTCTGCTCTGGTCTCGTCCTGATCCCCTCCCTCTGCTCTGGTCTCGTCCTGATCCCCTCCCTCTGCTCTGGTCTCGTCCTGATCCCCTCCCTCTGCTCTGGTCTCGTCCTGATCCCCTCCCTCTGCTCTGGGTCAGTGTTTAACAGGATCAGCGCCAGATTAAAACCAGATTAAATCCAGATTAAAGACGGATTACGACTTCAGGACCAAGATGCAAACATCAACAAGAAACTCCAATGTTACAGAGCTCGGACTGCAGACGCTGCTCCCTCTTCATCACAAGATACAGCAACTGAATCACTGCAGGCTCTGCACCGACCGCCAAGACCAGGACCAGGAGACGACCAAGACCAGGAGAGGACCAGGGCAGGACCAAGACCGGACCAAGACTAGGAGAGGACCAGGAGAGGACCAAGACCAGGAGAGGACCTGGACCTGAGCAATAGGGAGCACTTCCCAATTGAAAGTGCTCATGGACCCAGACAGAGACAGAGGCAGATACAGAGGCAGAGGAAGAGACAGAGGCAGAGGCAGAGGAAGAGACAGAGACAGAGACAGAGACAGAGACAGAGACAGAGACAGAGACAGAGGCAGAGACAGAGACAGAGACAGAGACAGAGACAGAGGCAGAGGCAGAGGCAGAGGCAGAGGCAGAGGAAGAGACAGAGGCAGAGGCAGAGGAAGAGACAGAGACAGAGACAGAGACAGAGACAGAGACAGAGGCAGAGGCAGAGACAGAGACAGAGGCAGAGACAGAGACAGAGACAGAGACAGAGACAGAGGCAGAGGCAGAGGCAGAGGCAGAGACAGAGACAGAGACAGAGGCAGAGACACAGAGGCAGAGACAGAGACAGAGACAGAGGCAGAGGCAGAGGCAGAGGCAGAGGCAGAGGCAGAGGCAGAGGCAGAGGCAGAGGCAGATACAGAGACAGAGACAGAGACAGAGGCAGAGACAGAGACAGAGACAGAGGCAGAGGCAGAGGCAGAGACAGAGGCAGAGACAGAGGCAGCGGCAGAGGAAGAGACAGAGACAGAGACAGAGACAGAGACAGAGGCAGAGACAGAGACAGAGGCAGAGGCAGAGGCAGAGGCAGAGACAGAGACAGAGAGACAGAGACAGAGGCAGAGACAGAGACAGAGGCAGAGGCAGAGGCAGAGGCAGAGACAGAGACAGAGACAGAGGCAGAGACAGAGACAGAGGCAGAGGCAGAGACAGAGACAGAGGCAGAGGCAGAGGCAGAGGCAGAGGCAGAGACAGAGACAGAGACAGAGGCAGAGGCAGAGGCAGAGACAGAGACAGAGGCAGAGGCAGAGGCAGAGGCAGAGGAAGAGGCAGAGGCAGAGGCAGAGGAAGAGACAGAGACAGAGACAGAGACAGAGACAGAGGCAGAGGCAGAGACAGAGACAGAGGCAGAGACAGAGACAGAGACAGAGGCAGAGGCAGAGGCAGAGGCAGAGGCAGAGGCAGAGGAAGAGACAGAGGCAGAGGCAGAGGAAGAGACAGAGACAGAGACAGAGACAGAGACAGAGACAGAGGCAGAGGCAGAGACAGAGACAGAGGCAGAGACAGAGACAGAGACAGAGACAGAGACAGAGGCAGAGGCAGAGGCAGAGGCAGAGACAGAGACAGAGACAGAGGCAGAGACACAGAGACAGAGACAGAGACAGAGACAGAGACAGAGGCAGAGGCAGAGGCAGAGGCAGAGGCAGAGGCAGAGGCAGAGGCAGATACAGAGACAGAGACAGAGGCAGAGACAGAGACAGAGACAGAGGCAGAGGCAGAGGCAGAGACAGAGGCAGAGACAGAGGCAGCGGCAGAGGAAGAGACAGAGACAGAGACAGAGACAGAGACAGAGGCAGAGGCAGAGACAGAGACAGAGGCAGAGACAGAGACAGAGACAGAGACAGAGGCAGAGGCAGAGGCAGAGGCAGAGGCAGAGGAAGAGACAGAGGCAGAGGAAGAGACAGAGACAGAGACAGAGACAGAGACAGAGACAGACAGAGGCAGAGGCAGAGACAGAGACAGAGGCAGAGACAGAGACAGAGACAGAGACAGAGACAGAGGCAGAGGCAGAGACAGAGGCAGAGGCAGAGGCAGAGGCAGAGACAGAGACAGAGACAGAGGCAGAGACACAGAGACAGAGGCAGAGACAGAGACAGAGACAGAGACAGAGGCAGAGGCAGAGGCAGAGGCAGAGGCAGAGGCAGATACAGAGACAGAGACAGAGGCAGAGACAGAGACAGAGACAGAGGCAGAGGCAGAGGCAGAGACAGAGGCAGAGACAGAGGCAGCGGCAGAGGAAGAGACAGAGACAGAGACAGAGACAGAGACAGAGGCAGAGACAGAGGCAGAGGCAGAGGCAGAGACAGAGACAGAGACAGAGACAGAGGCAGAGACAGAGACAGAGGCAGAGGCA